TACTTCTACTTCTACTTCGACGACGAAACGACGACGACGAGGACGACGACGAGGACGACGACGACGACGACTACTACTACACCTCTCGCCACCGCCACTACTTATTTACGCTACTACTAGGACTAGGACTAGGACTAGGACGTGGACTACGATTACGACTACGGCTACGACGTCTACGACTAGACGTCTACGGCTACGACGACGACGACTACTACTGTGACTGCTACCACTAATTCTCTTGCTGCTGCTGCTGCCTCTGCTGCTGCTGCTGCTGCTGCTGCTGCTGCTGCGATTACTTCTACTGCTACTTCTGCTTCGGCTGATTCTTCTAGCGGTGGTGGCTCTATCACTTCAGGCATGCGTTCCAATATTTGCAACACTCAGGAATGTGCACCCTTCGAAGAGAATGAAGCACAGGAGCAGCCGGACTGCTGGAGGACGGATGCTTTCGCAGATGTGGGACAACAACAGCGGTTAAGTGCAAGTAACACCACGCAAGATGCAGAATAATTAGTAGCGCTGCAGACGATGACAGAAGTAATCATCTTACCACTTGCCACCCAAAGAGTGGTCATACGTTGCCAAGCACACGAGGCGGCACGATCGGCCTACCACTTGAGATGGGCTGGGGTGCATCCTGGTTATTTGCAGACGAGGCGAATGTCGCCGATGGCTTAGTGACTGCAGATGCCGAAGAGCTGTGTCTGCGGCAGGGCGGATGAAGTAGCTTCGTGCTGCATTTCCGAGGAGTATAGAGCTTTCTCCTCTGGGAAGTTTTGCGCCAATGGTGGCAAAGTGCCCTTCATCGTGGAGGGACTCTTCGAACCTGAAGAGTGCGTCATGAGATGCACCGCTGCCCACAACTGTGCCTTCGCCACGTTGTACAGCAACGGCTGGTGCCAGTTGGGTTCCAAATGTGCGGCGGAGGCGGAAGCAGGAGATGCTTCCTCTGTGACCTACGCCAAGGCATTGGCGAATCATAATCTTAAGAGATATCTTAGCAAAAGAAAAACAAAACACTCCTGGCCACAAGCACTGCGTCCTGTGCCATAGGTCCACGTGAAGTCCGCATGCGTCGACGGCACATGTTAAGCACTCAGAGATTGTTGTTATAGGCTTTTCCTCAGTTGGTCTGTTTGCCGCGATTGGAGTGGGCTCTGAGGTGCAGCAGGCGTCAAGCCCTAGCCGGGCCTGCAGCGTTTTCGCACCGAGATGAGGGGCTCCCTGCTAAAGTGCGGTGACGAAGCCAGGCGCGAAGCAAAGCAGCGATATGCTGCTGCTCACCTTGCTCATGCGGTCGCAAAATGGCGTGCCATTGTTGATTCGTCACGGAAAAGGTTGAGCCCTGAGTGGCTCGTACGTGGCAACAGTATGCTGATCTGAGGGAGTCCCACGTCTCAGAGTCCGGCATCAAGGGCATGAAGCTCACCCGGACGATCACCGGCACCTGCACCGAGGCTCATCAAGCCTGTTTGTAAATTGTAAGGGGGCGACACCATGTCCGCCTGGACCCTGCTGACCCCAGCCTCCGTCCTAGCACCATCACAATTCAGCCATGTGAGATATCCAACACAGGTTCCGTGTCGCGAATTCAACGAGCTGCACCTAGGAATTTCCCTGACCATCAAGCCCAAGCCTTGAAGCCAAGACTTATCACATGAACCGGAGGCCTTGAAATTAAATCCAAACTCAACATCTTGCACCCAAACTGTGCAGTAAGTTGCTCGGGCCCACTAAACTTGTAAGTCATCAATCTTATGTGGAGTTTGGTTTTGACACTCGCCTGGCGAGCAAACATTCCACAACTTTAGACGATGTCTGCTTCAGTGCACAAGGTGTAAAGGTAGCAGCTCTTGATTGGAGCCCACTGCAAGGGAAGGTCGCAGATAAGGTGCCCAGGGTAATTTAGATGCGATGTGGTTTGCAAAGAGGGTGTCGTGTCGGATCTGCTTGTGACAGCCGCGCGGTTCAAGCGCCCGATGCGCCGTGCGGCGCAGTGTCGCCAGCTCCTGCGAAGAAGTTTGCTGATCCTGGGTACCTCTGGCTCTTGTTTGGCCGGACCCATCCGGTGTGAGATGCGGGGGTCTCGGTGCCAGACGAGTGCAGGGCTTGTCCAAGCTATGGATAGAGCGGGCAGGGTAGTGGGGTTGCCTAGGTTCAGCGATGATCCCCTCGGTCTCGGTGGCATGGATGGGGGCGGAAGTCTCTTCGGACGAAGAGGCTCCGATCGGAGCTTATCCAGCCAGTTTAGGGTCCTGGTCCGGAGATTCGATTGAACTTGAACCAGACTGACCCTACAAGTGTCGAATTATCGGAAGCACGTTTTTGCAAGCAATTTACTGCGCACAAGGCAAATCTCGCTTGTGATCCACTCCATGCTTGAATGCCTGCTGCAGGAGCTGGTGCGAAACGCGCCCAAGCCAAGGCCCAGAGCACAACAGCCTAAACCCACTAGTAGTAGTCGTCGTCGTCGTCGTCGTAGTAGTAGCAGTAGTGTAGTAGTAGTAGTAGTCGTCGTCGTCGTAGTAGCAGCAGCAGCAGCAGGAGGAGTAGTGGCAGTAACAGCAGCAGCAGTAGTGGCAGTGACAGTGGCAGCAGCATCAGCAGCATCAGCAGCGGCGGCAGCAGCTGTAGCTGTAGATTGTAGTAGCTGTAGCACACATCGTCGTGTGGTTCAGAGGCTGCTGCCTTAAATGATCGCAAGTCTTTCGCTTCAGTGTTTCCTGGATCGTGTTCGCTCATGGGACTTTCCCAACTGGCGGCGCTTAGCGGGTTGGCCTGGTTGTAGTTCCGCCAGGTTCCGGTGACAATCCTGTGCGGGTTTCTTGGTGGCTTGACTTGGCACAAAGAGTCGAAACAGCTGGGAAGTGCGACTGCCGATCCAAGCTTAGCCTTAGATTGAGTCTCTCTCGGAAAGACGCCTACATATACAATGCAGGTCGCCCGCAAGAATGACGTGTGGTAGCACGGGTCTGCTGAGGCGCGGGCAAGACGACCATGGTGCAGCACGTTCTGAAGAATCGGGAAGGTCTCAAGGCCAGTCCGACATCACTTTCGTCCGCGGTAGGCGAGGGACGGAGCTTTGGCAAGGTGGGGGTTGTGGTCAATGACGTGGCAGAGGTGAACATCGATTCCGAGGCTGGCCTCATCTTGTGCTCTGCCGGCTGCGACTTTCTGCACATGCCAGCCGGCAGTTGCAGGTCTTGAAATTTGAAGATGCCGACGGCATCGTGGGGCTGCAGAACGGATGTGTCTGTTGCTCTGGCAGGCTGGTCGTTACAGTGCCAACTTCACATGATCTGCACATGTGCAGTCAGACATAGACAGACACACTGACGCACACGCACGCACTCCCGCCCGCCCGCCCGCCCGCCCGCCCGCCCGCCCGCCCGCCCGCACGCACACGGAGACGGAGACACACGTGCGCGCAGTCAACGGATGCCTGGAGCAGGGCCGATCTGTTCGCGCGACTTCAAGAACTGGTGGAGAGCAGCGGAGTGACGAAGTTGGAGAAGCCGTGGGACAGGCTCAGAAAAGTGCTTGCGACACGAGCTGGGTAGGTCTGCAGGATTTCCTGTTCTGACCCCAGGCTCGTGGTTGAGTGCTCCGGAGTTGCGGAGCCGGAAAGCATTGCCTCGGAGCTCGAGGCTTCGGCTCGGAGCTTCAGCGGTTTGTGAGATTCTGCGGTCTTTGCTGATGGCAGCGTGGACTCTCTGAACGTGCTTCTTCTTATGGGAGTTGCTAGCAAGCGGCCTCCACAAGGGGAATCCTAGTTTGGTGGGTCCACGAGCTGCCGAAGGCCATGGGCCGAAGAGGCGAGCCGGTCATGAAGCGAATTTTCCTCGTGGCATCGCCGCATTTGCTCGCTAACAATGGAAACGGGTGCTTTCGGCGGGTTGCTTTTGTTGAGAGTTCAAAGGGCTCCCCCCCCGGCTTGCAGCGGCTCTCCAAGTGCCAAGGCTGGTATCATCTGCGTCGTCGATGCTTCGGCCTTCTGGGACATGTACAACTCAGGCGAGGCGAATCCTGACAGGAAGATCGGGTTTGCGGCTTGGCTTCTGCAGAGAGACTCTGGATTCAGGTGACAGCGGCGACGCAACTCGCAAACCGTTGTCAGTCCTGCTGGTGAGCCAGCTGGAGTCGGCGGACACCGTCACTCAGCCAGAGTTCTATGCAAGTCATGTTACAAGTTTGAAGCGCGCAAGAGCAAGTGCCAAGGTCGTCATCAATAAGACTGACTTGGCCGCTTGCCGATACTGTTGTTGTTCTGCCTGCCTTGCTTGGTCTCACTGCCGCGCGACTGTGAGCCAGGTGAGCCCGGAAGAGTTAGACAAAGTTCGACAGCTTGTGTCTGCCTTGAGCCCGAATGCTCGGCAGTTTCCGGCAACGAAAGGGGCCATTCCCATGAGGCGGGACCATCGTTTTTATGCTTTCCGCGCTACAGATGTCAGCACGATGAGGACCCTGCTCCCCGCCGATCCGGTGGATTTGGACATGCCGGCGTGCTTTGGCCGCAAGGGTTCTCACACAGGGGGGCTACTAGGGCAAGCAAGCAGGCACGTGAGTGCGCTAGGAAACCGAGCTTATTCAAAGAGAAACCTCTTTAAAATTGATGCGCTTTCATAGGTTTATTGTGGGAGGTTTTGCAAGCACCAAGAAGTTGTGAGCAGACCTTGAAAGGCCTACTTGCGCAAAGGCCTTGCGTGTGTGACAGACCTTAGGCCCTTAGGCAGGGTGGGCCATGTGGGCCTCTAACGAGGGAAGTTTTGGGAGGGCCTGCATTCGTGCGGAAATCATATGACCAGCGCGTCTTGCGGGATGCTGATTTGTTTTCTTTTCGCTCGTAGCGGTCGCATGGCTGAGGTATGTGCCAACATTGGTGAATCGTCACGGTGCAGCAGTCCGTGCTTCTGAAGCAGCAGGCCAGATGGTCAGTTCAGCTTGCAACTTCTCTGTCGGCCGGATAACCAGGTTATCGTCCGCCCCGTGAAGACCCCCACTCAGCTGTTGCTTTGCAGGCAAGGGTGGTACTTGCGCGCCGCGCCCTTTTCCCATTCTTGCTGCCTCGACAGCATGAGCGTAAGGATCAAAATGGGCACAACGGACATGGATACGCCCACGCTGACCACGGCCACGAACATGCCCACGAGCATGGGCACGAACATGGCCATGGACACGGACACGATGGTGAGGATTGCCAACTATGTGCGCGACATGAACGTTTTGGCATCTCCAGCCTCTCCCCTACATGTGGCTATGGTGAGGTCACGGCAATGTCAGGGACAAAGGGTCAGACTGAGCTTTGCAGATTTGTGTCTGAGGCTTCGTTTATCGCTGCAAGGCGCGCCGACTTGGCAGCTGGAGTTCTCAATGTACAGGTAGAGGTGGTGAGAAGCAGAGGAAGTGTAAGATCGTCCAGCTGGGATCTGGGAAGCTTGTAGAAACATGAAGGACAGGGTCTTTGATCCTGATCGATTGGCCGACTTCAATAGAGTCCCGGCATGCACCAGGCAAGAGTCTGCGAAAAGCTTCATGAAACTCGTAGACCTTTTGCCCGAAGGGCCTGCAGCCTTCCATGAATTCAGCCGACAGGGTATGTCACCCGCCATGTTCTAGAACTCAACCAAATAGTCCCTCAACTTTGAGACACCGGCCCCCCGCTCCCCCTGCCATGGCCAAGGAAAGCTGCCGGTGGTCGCGGCAACCTTAGGCTTCCTTGCGGAGGCCTTTGTTTTTTTTTGCAGAGGAGGGCATCATCATCATTATCATCATTACAATCACCATCAGCTCCACACCAGGCAGAGGGCACTCCCTGTGCAGGCCGAGGTGAAGCCCGTGAAGGATCCGCTGCTTTCGGGCGTCCTTCGCTCCAAAGGCTTTGCCCTCCGGCCGTACAGAAGGGGTCAGGACTGGCTTTGCAAGCCTCTGGCATACTTCTCGGAGTCTCAGGTACATGTGCTGGGCTCCAAGCAGTCGTTTTACTGGTCGCCGCTTGGAGCGCACGAGCCTACGCCATAAGTCACGTGCAGCGAAATAGACCTCAGGCATGCTGGCCGACGAATCGAAGCTTTTCCAGCCAGCGAGTCGACCACAAGCAGGCAGTCAGAAGTAGCCCCGGAGCTGCACGAAGCTTGCCCTTGAGGTCTTTGACTTAGACCTGCTGTGGCGACCTTGGAATGAGATGCCCAGGTCTTTATTGGGACCAAGCTGGATCGGACTGCCATAAGTGCAGCGCTGGATGCGTGTCTGGCAAGCACGGATGACAATAGCAACGCCGACGTCACCGGGCCCAAACTGTGAAAAATGATTGATGCCACCTGGCGGGATAGAATTCTGCGAGGCTCCTGCAGAGGATGCAGGAGACCTTAGCAGACCTCCGACTTGTCAGCAATCCCTGCATGCTTGCATATGAAGGAGTCCCCCCCTCCCCGCATCTGCAAAAGCTGTTGTGCAGGTGGAGCTGGTTCCTGGTGGCCACGATGTGGAGGTGACGGAAGAGAACAAGGCAGCTGGGTCTCCGGGCACCAGCACCATCGCTCCTTGCCTTCCCTCCCACCCCACGTATTCTACAGACTTGTCAGTCAATGTTCAGAAAAAGGCGGCGAAGCTTCATGGGTGCTGCGAGTGCTGCCTCTTTAGCCTTGAGCTAATGCCCCCATGGAACGCCTTTAAACTGCTTGAATCCCGACATGCCAAGCAGGCAGACTGGCTACGGCCGCAGCCTCGAAGAGAGATCGTTGGTCGGGTATGGGCGTGGGCGGCGGTGTTGGAATGAAGAACATGGGCGGGCCCGCTACACCTTTAGTACCACTTCTGAGCCCATGATGCCAGCCGGCTCTTACCCCTGCTGCGAGAGAGGCTCCACCTGCATGACAAGCTTTACCGATCGATGCAGAAGGCTGCCGACTCCTTTCGTGCAGGGGCCGTGGCCTCAGAGAGTTCCGGCCGCCTGCGCTTGTCACTTCGGTTTTGTGGCCGAGATCTTGGACATTTGGGGCGGTACTCGGCGGACCTGTCCATTGTTGGCACGCCCCGGATGCATGCTTGTGTCTGCTGGCTGTGGGGGTTATTCATGCTTCCGAAAATCTGGGCAAGCTGGATTCTGATGAATCCTGCAAGAGGTCCTGCTGACGCCAGCGGAGTTTCCACCTCAGGGCAGTGGAGCGTTGTGTCAGATCGACACAAGTGAGTTGTCACACTGTCTTAGCTTGCAGCTAAAGACAGCACAAGTGTGCTGAGAGTATGGTGCTAAGATCTTAAAGAGCTACGATTTCGATCCCAAACCTGATCGGGCCTTTTTTCGCTGCGGCACCAGGCTTGTGCGGATTTGGGCCGGCAGCGGCGTGACCGATGCAGATGTGCGTCGCTGGAAGGAGGCTCACTGGTTGTCCAATTGGAACCCGGGAAGTTCCCGTGGCCCTTCGAGATTCAGCTGCTTGACACTCCACGCACCCACGCACCGCCCGTATCGCGCGAATGCACCAACATTTTGGATCCATGGTTCTGCATTTGTCATGTGTCATATGGCTTTTCCGTGTTGGGGTTCCGGAGGTTGCGACCGTCAGCGACGAGGTCAAGACGCAAGCAGGCCTCTCATGGACATAGCCTGTCCCGCCTGTTATGCGTGGCTTACTGAGGTTCACTGAGGGGTTGCCCTGTCACGGGGTTGCAGCGTATCGACCTTGCAACTTAAATGGTTGTCCCTCTTCCGTCGAATTTGCTGCTTCTGACCAGGTTCAATGCCGGAATGTCTCATGGACTGTTTCCATTGTTGTAATATCCAGCCGCCCTGCCTTGAATCCGATGCCTCCGAAATGTTCAGAAGTACCCAGAAGGAGCTGGCCCTCCAAGCAGATGGTGTCTCTTGTTTCTGCCCTTTTCGGCGGGAGTTTCTCCTGCTTTCGTGTTCACGAGGCTGACGCGGTCGGCGCGTTTAATTGCATCCGTTTCAAGCAACTGATGCAGATTGAACTCCTGAGTGGTGCTTAGATCGATAGTGTTAGACGGTTAGAGTTCTGTTAACTTTGAGTGTGGTCGCGGCACCAGGGTGGCTGTGGGAGATTCTGGAGGAGGCAGACGAGGCCGGGGGCATGAAGAAAAGGAAACTTGGACTTGAGTTCTGATTTCCGACGATTGCTTGTACCGCAATTTTTGCGTTTGCCCTTTACCATCTCGTGCATCCGGAGGCTTACCGCTCGAAGGTGTTGAAGTTCACAACAGGCCCGGCAATCGACATTGGATTTTGCCGTTAGCATCAGCTGTTATGCGACTCCTTGGCACCCCTCGAGGTGTCCATCGAATTGGCTATGTTGGAATTCAATCATTCGAGGCAACCGGGCCGCCAGCGTGGTGATAGTAGCAACAGGTAGTCATAGTCATCGTTGTCGTCGTAGTTGTTGTCGTCACAGTCGTAGCCGTCGTCGTCGTCGGCGTCGTCGTCGTAGCAGTGCAGCAGCAGCAGCAGCAGCAGCAGCAGCAGCAGCAGTAGCAGAGTAGCAG